TCTTTTGGCCATCTGTATGTCATCTTTGGAAAAATGTCTATTTAGGTCTTCTGCCCATTTTTTAATTGAATTATGTCCTTTTTGGTATTGAGTTGTGTAAGTTCTTTATGTATTTTGGATATTAAATCCTTATCAGATGTATCATTTGCTAATTATATTCTCCCATTCAGTGGATTCTCTTGTCATTTTGTTAGTGGTTTTCTTTGCTGTGCAAGAGCTTTTTATTTGGGTATGGTCCTAGTATTTATTTATTTATTTATTTATTTATTTATTTTTAATTTTTTTTTTCCTAGTTTTTAATTCTCTTGTCTTAGGAGATGTATCTAGAAAAATGTTTCTACAGCTGATGACAGAAATTGCTGCCTATGTTTTCTTTCTTTTTTTTTTTTTTTAAGATTTTATTTATTTATTCACGAGAGACACAGAAAGAGAGAGGCAGAGACAGAAGCAGGCTCCGTGCAGGGAGCCTGATGCGGGACTCGATCCCGGTTCTCCAGGATCACGCCCTGGGCTGAAGGCAGACATGCTTAACCACTGAGCCACCCAGGCATCCCCCTATGTTTTCTTATAGTTTTATGGTCTCAGGTCTCACATTTAGGTCTTTAATCATTTTGAGCTTATTTTTGTGTGTTGTATTAGAAAGTGGTCTGGGTTGCCTGGCTGGCTCACTCAGAAGAGCATGCAACTCTTGCTTTTATGGTTGGTCGGTCGTGAGTTCGAGCCCTATGTTGAATATAAAGATTACTTAAATATTTTTTAAAAAAAGAAAAGAGGGATCTCTGGGTGGCTTAGCAGTTTGGCACCTGCCTTTGGCCCAGGGCGCGATCCTGGAGTCCCCGGATCGAGTCCCGTGTCGGGCTCCTGGCATGGAGCCTGCTTCTCCCTTTGCCTGTGTCTCTGCCTCTCTATCTCTATGTCTATCATAAAATAAATAAATAAATCTTTAAAAAAGAAAAGAAAATTGGCCAGTTTCATTCTTTTGCACGTAGCTGTTCAGTTTTCTCAGCACCATTTGTTGAAGAGACCGTCTTTTCTCCGTTGTATGTTCTTGCCTCCTTTGTCATAAATTGCCATATACATGTGGGTTTCTTTCTCCACTCTCTGTAATACATTTGTAGAGAATGAATCAGGATTCCATGTATTAAAATTTTTGATTGATCCTACCAGTTGTCTATTTAAAAATTATTACCACTTCATTGTTTCTCCTTCTCCCTCTACCTGCCACTCCCCCTTCGTGTGTGTATGTGTGTGTGTGTGTGCGTGCTCTCTCTCCCTTTGTCAAATAAGTAAAATAGGGGGATCCCTGGGTGGCTCAGCGGTTCAGCACTTGCCTTTGGCCCAGGGCATGATCCTGGAGTCCTGGGATCAAGTCCCGTGTCGGGCTCCTGGCATGGAGCCTGCTTCTCCCCTCTGTCTGTGTCTCTGCCTCTCTCTCTATGTCTGTCATGAATAAATAAATAAAATCTTTAAAATCAATCTGGGATCCCTGGGTGGCGCAGCAGTTTAGCGCCTGCCTTTGGCCCAGGGCGCGATCCTGGAGACCCGGGATCAAATCCCACATCGGGCTCCCGGTGCATGGAGCCTGCTTCTCCCTCTGCCTATGTCTCTGCCTCTTTCTCTCTCTCTCATAAATAAAAAAATAATTAAAGAAAATAAATAAAATCAATCAGTCTTTAAGGGGGGGGGCCACCTGGGTGGCTCTGTCAGTTAAGTGTGTGCCTTCAGCTCAAGTCATGATCCCAGGACTGGGGATTGAGCCCCACATTGGCTCAGCCCAGAATCTGCTTCTCCTTTTCCCTCTTTCTCTGCCCGCCACCCTCCCTACTTATATGTGTACATGTGCACTCTTTCTCTCTGTCAAATAAATAAGTAAATAAATATTTTTTAAAAAGCAATATTATACCACTTCAGCAGCAGTGTGCACAATTAGAACCCAAATCTTTATCTAAATACCATTCTTCTCGGGATCCCTGGGTGGCGCAGCGGTTTGGCGCCTGCCTTTGGCCCAGGGCGCGATCCTGGAGACCCGGGATCGAATCCCACATCGGGCTCCCGGCGCATGGAGCCTGCTTCTCCCTCTGCCTGTGTCTCTGCCTCTCTCTCTCTCTCTCTCTCTCTCTCTATCATAAATAAATAAAAAAATAAATAAATAAATACCATTCTTCTCCAAAAGGTACTTAGTAGAATGATTGGTTCCAGACCTGTGGCAGGTAAAAGATAAAGACAGCCTAGGACACTTTATGCCCTCAAAAATAAGGAAGTCCTCAATGACTAATGGGGTCTTCTTAAAAGGTTACAAAGAGCTGGGTGTAAGAGGCTCTGCTGGCCAAATTTGGGTCAATTTAAATATCAAACAAATAATTACATTACATTGAATTTTTATCAGTGATCATTTGGTGATACTAAGCAAAAGATGGTAGGAGAGAGTAAGTTTTTTTTTTTAATTAAAAAGAATATTTGAGAGAGAGAAAGAGAGCATGAGCAGGGGGAGAGGGGCAGAGGGAGAAGTAGACTTCCTGCTAAGCAGGGAACCCAGTGTGGGGCTCTCTGTCCCAAAACCCTGGGATCACAACCTGAGCCGAAGGCAGATGCTTAACCAACTGAGCCACCCAGGTGGCCTAGTAAGCTTTTTAAAAGAGTACTAGCTAATACATGTAGAAGGAATTACAGTATTAAAAAACAATGACCATTTCTCAACCCCTGACATAGTACATAAAATTCAGGTATAGATCATCATGGAGGCTAAAAACTAGGTGAGAGGTTGTTGAACTGTTGACATGCTACAGATTACTAACCTATCACACAGGGGAAAAAAAGAAACCAAACTTTATACTGGAGAAATCCTGTAGTTACTACCTTAATCAAATTCACCATCACTAATGCTGGAACATACTGACATCATGTGCCATTTGTTAGATTGATTAAGAAGTACTAAATTCACTGATGAAGGATTGTTTTCAAAAATGTTTAACCTAGGGATGCCTGGCTGGCTCACTGGTTGAGCGTCTGCCTTTGGCCCAGGGTGTGATCCTGGGGGCCCAGGATCGAGTCCTACGTCGGGCTCCCTGCATGGAGCCTGCTTCTCCCTCTCCCTGTATCTCTGCCTCTCTCTGTGTGTTTCTAATGAATAAATAAATAAAATCTTAAAAAAAAATCCATCACTTATTTAACCCACCCTCCCTGCCCATCTCCCCTCCAGCAACCCTGTTTGTTCTCTGTAGTTAAGAGTCTGTCTTATGGTCTGCTGCCCTCTCTTTTTTTTTTCTTTCCCTATGTTAATCTGTTTTATTTCCAAAATTCCACATGAGTGAAATAAATTCCACATATGAGTGAAATCATATGGTATTTATCTTTGACCTATTTTGCTTAGCATAATACACTCTAGCTCCATCCATGTCGTTGAAATGGCAAGATTTTATTCCTTTTTTTTTTTTTTTTTTTAAGATTTTATTTGAGACAGAGAAAATGAGCCAGGGAATTGCAGAGGGAGAAGGAGAAGCAGACTTCCCCTGAACAGGGAGCTCAATCCCAGAACCCTGGGATCATGTCCTGAGCTGAAGGCCAGTGCTTAACCGACTGAGCCAACCAGGTGCCCCTCTTTCCTGCTTTTTGAAGATTAATTGACCATAGAGTTAAGGGTACATTTCTGGATTTTCTGTTCTGTTCCATTGATCTATATGTGTGTTTTTGTGCCAGTACCATACTGTCTTGAAGGCTGTAGCTTTGTAATAGAGCTTAAAGTCTGGAATTATGATGCATTCAACTTTGCTTTCCTTTTTCAAGATTGCTTTGGCTATTCGGAATCTTAGAGTTCCATACAAATTTTAGGATTGTTTGTTCTAAAAAATGCTGGTGACATCTTGATGGGAATTGCATTGATTCTATAGATTGCTTTGGGTAGTATAGAATTTTAACAGTAGTTGTTCTTCCAGTCCATGGGCATGGAATGTTTCCATATCTTTGGGTCCTCTTCAATTTCTTTCATAAGTGTTCTATAATTTTCAGCAAAATACAGATCTTTTACCTCTTTGGTTATGTTTATTCCTAGGTATCTTGTGGTTTTTGGTGCAATTGTAAATAGGATCAATTCCTTGATTTCCCTTTCTGCTGTTTCATTATTGGTGTATAGAAAGGCAACAGATTTCTATATGTTGATTTTGTATCCTGTGACTTTACTGAATTTGTGTATCAGTTTTAGCAATTTTTTGGTGGAGTCTTTCGGTTTTCTAGGGTATCATATTGTCTGCAAATAGTGAAAGTTTGACTTCTTCCTTGCCTATTTGGATGTCTTTTATTTCTTTTTTTGTTATCTGATTGCAGAGACTATGCAGAGGCTAGGATTTCCAGTATGATTTTGTTGTGGGTTTTTTTTTTTAAAGATTTTATTTATTTATTTATTTACTTATTTGAGAGAGAGAGAGTGCATGCGTACTTGCATAAGTGGGAGGAAATACAGAGGAAGAAGCTGACTCTCCCCTGAGCAGGGAGCCTGACATTGGGCTCCATGCCAGGACCCTGAGATGGTGACCTGAGCCAAAGGCAGATGCTTAACCAAGTGAGCCACCAGGCGCTTCTCCAGTACTATTTTAAATAAAAATGGTGACAGTGGATATCCTAGACAGGTTGAGGGATTTCAAGTGCATTGTCTTTTATTTTACATAAACAATGAAGTAATAACTCATAAAAGATTGGGAAGGAAAGTTTCAGGCTGTTAAGGGAGTATTAAAATTTATTGCATAGCAACAATCTTCTCTAGGATATGGCCCTTATAACAAGGGCTATAATTGTGTCCCCATAAGAAAGTGACTTCCTTCAAAGAATGTGTTCTGGGCAAATGTGTATAATTACAGCATTTCCTCAAACAAGAAGAAATAAATTCATTGAAAGACCTTCCCTCTTATGGAAGTGTGGTCAAACTTCTATATAAATAGCATTATTAAAATCCTTGGTTATTGGCAAATCAAATTATTCCAGTTTGAAAATTATTGTTCGTGTCCTAGACAGCTGCTCAGGAAGCAATCCTGCATGCGTCTGGAAATGGCAAACTTTTACCATCTAAGGACTACTGCATGCTTTATAACCCTCAGTGGACATCTCTTCCGAATACTCTAGAAAATGCAGTAAGTAAATCACAGTTACTACTTATATGTAGACATAAAATTATTGAAAGGTGAAGATGAGTGATTGTTATGTTGTAGTGTGTGAACTAGTTGTAATATATGATGGTCAATAAACAGTAATTGTTTTATTGTTTTGGCTCAAGTATTTTTCTCTCTGTGGGAAAAACAAATTAGGGAATTTTAAAGTACTTCCCTGGTTGTCATAAAATATTTCGAATTTAAAAGAACTTGGTATTAAACCAATACTGATACTTTGTCATTGAATGCATTTTTTGTGAATATGTTTATTATGTTAAAGACATTTCTCTTTCCAGACTTCTGTCAGTTTGATGAATCTGACTACCACACCACTATGCAACCTTTCTGATATTCCGCCCGATGGAATAAAGAGCAAAGCTGTTGTGGTAAAGTGGGGAACCTGCCATATTCTTGAAAAAGCCAGAATTGCACAAACTGGAGGTGCTGAAGCATTGTTGGTTGCCAATAACAGTGTCCTAGTAAGTTTTAAAACTTTAATAAACTTTTGAGCTCATGATATATATCAAATTTCACAAGAATTGAATTATTTTGGGTATGTAGTTTAGGGGCTGAATTTTGAATAATCTCACAGTAGGGTTCTTTTAAAATAAACATTCTGGGGCCATATAGGTGACTAAGTTGGTTAAACATCTGACTCTTGATCTCAGCTCAGGTCTTGATCTCAGAGTTGGGAGTTCAAGTCCCACTTTGGGCTCCATGCTGGGTGTGGAGCTTACTTAAAAAGAAATAATAGTAATTTTTTAAATAAATAAAATAAACATTCTGGCTATGATAGGTATTAATTAGAAAACTTTGTAGTTTCTTTTCTGTTCCTAAAGTGGACAAGACTTTGTTAGGAATGTGTGTATGCGTAAGTCTAATTAAACCTCAGTGTTGTATGTACGCACAGACATATATATATATATATATATATATATATATATATATATATATATATGATATTCCTGTTTGTAAGTAAGTTTAAGTTTATGCTAAAGGATTCCAGTTTGAGAACTGGAAATCAAGGAAGAACATGTGAAACTTTGTCTTATAACTTTAAAAAAGATATAATATTAATACTTAAAGGAATAATTTGAGGGGTGCCTGGGTGGCTCAGTCAGTTAAATGTCTGATTCTGCTTGGGTGTGATCCCAGAGTCCTGGGATCAAGCCCCACATCAGACTCCCTGCTCAGAAGGGAGACTGCTTCTCCCTCTGCCTGCCACTCCCCCTGCTTGTGCTCTCTCTCCTCTCTCTCTCTCTCTGTTAAGTAAATAAAATCTTAAATAAATAGCAATACAGGAATAAGGTGTATTTTATTCTGTAATTAGTAGCTCATAAGTTTTCATAATATGTTTTTTTTTCTTTTAGTTTCCACCCTCAGGGAACAAATCTGAATTTCATGATGTGAAAATACTGATTGCATTTATAAGCCGTAAAGACTTCATAGATATGAAGCAGGTAAATTAGTAATTACATACTATACAAAGTTTATACATAGTACAATTCTTCACTTTTAACACTTGATATTCAATATAAATTATATATGCTCCATTTGCTAACAAGAAGCTATAAAGGCCTTATCAAGTCTTTATTTGGGAAGAGTTCACCTCTCAGAGAGCACAAGGTGTTTCTGAGCCCTCACTTTAGAATATTTATTTGTCTTGACTTCTTTAATTGGCTCTGTGTTATATCATTTATCTTACCCATAAATCCCTGGACAAGATGTCACTGTGTGGAACATTGAACTTTCAAGATTTAATAAACCAAAGCATAGCCTCATAATTCTGACAAGAGAATAATACATCATGTTGTCAAAAAGTTCTTGACTCTCTGTAGTGTCTGTTTCAGAGTGAAATTAGAACATTGCTGCCATATACTATAGAAAACTAATTCTGTTTTTTGTTTTTTTCTTTTTTTGTCTTTCAGACTCTTGGAGATAACATTACTGTGAAAATGTATTCTCCATCATGGCCTAACTTTGACTATACTATGGTGGTTATTTTTGTAATTGCTGTGTTCACTGTGGCATTAGGAGGATACTGGAGTGGACTAATTGAATTGTAAGTTTAAGTAAACTTCAGTGTTTTTGTGCTAAATGGCTAAAAAATTATTGTTTGATAATCAATTTAATCATGTAACAACATGTAAATTTTACCTGACCTCAGAATATAGTGCTATTAAGATCTGATTACAGGTTTGTCTTCCTGTAGGTCATTTAATTTTTCACTGAGAAGGAAGTTATAGCTTCCTCTGACTCTTCTGCTGGTAGGCTAGCATTGAAACTACATCAAAGACATTTTAAAATTGAAATGTTTAATTATCTCTCTCAGAAAAGATGAAAATACTTGATGTCCTTGTGGGCCTATTTATTTAGATTAGAAGAAAATAAGTAAGAGAAGGTGGGACAGGGGGTTTCAGTTCCTCCTGAGAGCAGTCATTGCAGTATGATCTCATCATGTTGTTTAATGCTTTAGAATTTCTGAAGATATGAAGCATGTTCATTTTTTTTTAAGATTTTATTTATTTATTCATGAGAGACACAGAAAGAGAGGCAGAGACACAGGCAGAGGGAGGAGAAGCAGGTTCTTATGCAAGGAACCTGATGCGAGACTCTATCCCGGGAATCCAGGATCACACCCTGAGCCAAAGGCAGACACTCAACCGCTGAGCCACCCAGGCATCCCTAAGCATGTTCATATTCTAATTTAAAAATAGGGGATCCCTGGGTGGCGCAGCGGTTTAGCGTCTGCCTTTGGCCCAGGGCGCGATCCTAGAGACTTGGATCGAATCCCACGTCGGGCTCCCGGTGCATGGAGCCTGCTTCTCCCTCTGCCTGTGTCTCTGCCTCTCTCTCTCTCTCTCTGTGTGTGACTATCATTAAAAAAAAAAGGAATTCCAGGGCAGCCAGGGTGGCTCAGCAGTTTAGCACCTGCCTTCAGCCCAGGGCGTGATCCTGGAGACCCGGGATCGAGACCCACGTCGAGCTCCCTGCATGGAGCCTGCTTCTCCCTCTGCCTGTGTCTCTGCCCTCCCCCCCTCTCTGTCTCATGAATAAATAAAATCTTTTAAAATAAATGAATGAATGAGTGTGTGAATGAATGAATTCCAAATGTACATAAAATTTAGATTTCCCTGTTCAGTAACAACCTAAAGCCAGTCTTCTTGCAGTTATGTATGTTGGCTCTGGATGAAAGCAGGCAACATTGTTAAAAGGAATCAGTTCATATTTAGAACTCTGAACTTAAAAATGTGCTCAGAGCATATTTGATGTATAAAGGACAATATATTCATCTTATGAATTGATCTGTAGGTTCCATTACAAAGGGCTTATTTGCAACTAAATGAAGTTAATATTACTTATAATTTCTTAAAATACTAAAATTTGATTGACTCATGTCAAGAGAAAAATCTTAGGGTTGAACAAGTATAGTAGGTTTCTAGAATATTGAGCTTTAAATATTTTCCATATTTGGAAAACATGTTTCAACATATATATACACACATACACACACATATATATGCAATTCATATTTATGTATATACATAGTTCATATGTATTCATCATCTATATACACGGGTGTGTGTGTGTGTGTGTGTGTATATATATATATATATCAGTCACATATTTTCATGTGAGTAAGCATTTTTTTCCATTATTAATCTTTATAAAGTATATCATGTAAGATCTCCAAGGTCATTTTCTAGATTATTTGGTGAAACTTCGTAAATAATTTCCCCAAAGCTCCTGATTCATTCAGAATGTTTTCCCCTTTAATCTAGATTCTCAATATACTTCTATATATTGTAAATTATTTAAGTAAATTGTTTCTTCTCTGGAGTAGTGCTTTTCAAACTAATATGTATACAAACTATCTTGAGATCTCATTAAAATGAAAATTTAGATTTAGTAGGCTTGGGATGGGGGCCAAGATTCCATGTTTTAAAAGAAGCTCCCAAATGATTTTGTTGGCCCACAGATCACACTTTGAGTTAGCAAGGTATGCTTTGTATACATGTCAGGGTAAGCTCTTCCTCAAGAAAATTGGCGATGGGAGAAGAGTACATATAAGCTTTTTTATTCATAAAACATGATGATGGACAAAAACAGAGAGAATTTGTTACCTTCATAGCCATATTAGGAGAGAAGGAGTTCTTTACCTGCAGGATTACGGAATTTTTAAATTTTTCATTTTAATTACAGTTTAGTTAACGTACAGTGTTTATATTGGTTTAAGGTGTACAATTCAGTTCAATGCCTTACTCCATGTTCATCAAGAAAAATGTACTCTTAATCCCCTTTATCTATTTTGCCCATCCCCTCACCTTCTTCCCCTCTGGCAACCACCAGTTTGCTTTCTGTATTTACAAGTATATTTTCTTGTTTTTGTTTTTTTACTTTGTTCATTTGTTTCTTAAAATTTTACATATGAGTGAAATTATATGATATTTATCTTTTCTCTGAATTTATTTAGCATTATACTCTCTCGGTCCATCCATATTGTTGCAAATGGCAATATCTTATTTTTAGGGCTAAGTTATATCCTATCCTATTGTATATATACTTTATCCATTTATCTTTTTCCATTCATCTATGGATGGAAACTTGGGTTGATTGCTTCCATATCTTGGCTATTGTGAGTAATGCTGTAATAGACACTTTTCAAATAAATGTTTTCATTTTCTTTGAGTAATTATCCAGTAGTTTCTATCCATTTCTGGATCATATGGTAATTCTGTTTTTAATTTTTTTTAAGGAATCTCCATATTGTTTTCCACAGTGCTTACACAGTGCATTCCCATGAGCAGTGCACAGTGTTCCTTTTTCTCCACATCCTCATCAAACTTGATATTTCTTGTCTTTTGATCTAACAGATGTAAGGTAACATTTTATTTTTGTGTATTGTGTGAGAAAGTGGTCCGGTTTCATTCTTTTGCATGGAGCTGTCCAGTTTTTCTAACACCATTTGTTGAGGAATCTTTTTACCATTGCATATTCTTGCCTCCTATGTTGACAATTTATTCACCATGTAATCATGGATTTATATCTGGTCCCTCTATTCTTTGGATCTATGTGTCCTCTTTTGTGCCAGGACCATACTGTTTTGATTACTACAGTTTTATATTATATCTTCAAATCCAGGATTATGATATCTTCAGTTTTGTTCTTCTTTTTCAAGATGACTTTGCCTATTTGGGGTCTTTCTGTGATTCCATATAAATTTTAGGATTGTTTTAGTTCTACAAAAAATGCTGGTGGTACTTTGATAGGAATTGCATTAAATCTGTAGATTTGCTTTAGATGGTATGGACATTTTAACATATTTGTTCTTCCAATCCCTGAGCACAGAATATCTTTCCATTTGTTTGTGTTGCCTTCAATTTCTTTCATAGTTTTCAGGGTATAGGTCTTTAACCATCTTGGTCCCAGGTATTTTATTATTTTTGGTATAATTGTAAATGGGATTGTTTACTTAATTTCTCTTTCTGTTACTTCATTTAAAAAAAAAACATTTTATTTATTCATTTGAGAGAGAGAATGCACATGGGGAGAGCCCAAGGGCAAAGGAGACGGACAAGCAGACTCCATGCTGAGCATGGAGCCTGACTCAGGGACCCAATCTCAGGACCCTGAGATCATGACTTAAGCCAAAACCAAGAGTTGGACACAACCAACTAAGCCACCCAGGTAGCCATCTGCTACTTCAATATTAGTGTACAGAAATACAGCAGATGTCTATAAATTGATTTTGTTTCCTGCAGCCTTACTGAATTTATATATCAGTTCTAGTAGTTTTTGGTGGAGTCTTTTGGATTTTCTATATATAGCATCATGTCATCTGCAAGTAGTGAAAGTTTTACTTCTTCCTTACCAATTTAGATACTTTTTACTATTTTTTCTTGTCTGATTGCTGTGCCTAGGACTTCCAGTACTGTGTTGAATAAAAATGATGAGAGTGGACATCCTTGTCTAATTCCTGACCTTCTCTTATTTTATAGTCTTTATCTGGTTTTGGTGTCAGGATTATGCTGGCCTCACAGGGTGATTTTGGAAGCTTTCCTTTTCTTTTTTTGGGGGGAATAGCTTAGGAAGAATAGGTATTAACTCCTCTTTAAATGTTTGGTAGAATTCACCTATGAAGCTTTCTGGTCCTGAACTTGTGTTTGCTGAGACTTTTTTGATTTTTTGATTACTGATTCAGTTTCTTTGCTGGTAATCAGTCTGTTCAAATTTTCTATTCCTTGAGTGAAATAAGTCAATTGGAGAAAGACCATACGGTTTCACTCATATGTGGAATATAAGAAATAGTGAAAGAGACCATAAGGAAAAGAAGGGAAACTGTGAATGGGGAAATATTAGAGAGGAAGACAAACCATGAGAGACTCCTAACTCTGGAAAACAAACCAAAGGGTTGCAGAAGGGGAAAAGTGGGGAGATGGGGTAGCTGTGTGACACACACTAAGGAGGGCACTTGATGAGATGAGCACAGGGTGTTGTTGTTTTTTTTTAAAGATTTTATTTATTCATGAGAGACAGAGGCAGAGACACAGAGGGAGAAGCAGGCTCCCCACAGGGAACCCGATGCAGGATTCAATCCCCAGGATTGAGGATGAGGATCATGCCCTGAGCCAAAGGCAGACACCCAACCGCTAAGCCACCCAGGCGTCCCAAGCACAGGGTGTTATACTGTATGTTGGCAAATGGAATTTAAATAAAATACTTTTTTAAAAAAAGACACTTAGCTCAAAAAAATTTTTTTTTCTGTTCCTGATTCTGTTTTGGAAGGTTATATGTTTCTAGGAATTTATCCATTTCTTCTTGGTTGTCCAATTTGTTCCCATATAATTTTTTATAATATTCTCTTATAATCTTTTGTATTTCTGTAGTATTGGTTGTTATTTCTCCTCTTTCATTTGTGATTTTGTTTGAGTCATCTCTTTTTTTTATGAGTCTGGCTAAAGGTTTATCAATTTGTGATTTTTTCAAAGAACCAGCCCTTGGTTTCTTTGATCTGTTTTTTACGGTTGTTGTTGTTGTTTTTAGTTTCTATTTCTTTTATTTCTGTTTTGATCTTTATTATTTCCTTCCTTCTTTTGTTTTGGGTTTCTTTCTTCTTTTTCTAGCTCTGTTAGGTGTAAGATAAGGTGGTTTATTTGAGATTTTTTCCTGCTTCTTGAGGTAGGCTATAAATTTCCCTCTTACAACAGCTTTTGCTGCATCCCTGAGATTTTGGTCTGTTTTGATTTCATTTTCATTTGTTTCCATGTGAGTTTTGATTTCTTCTTTGACTTCTTAGGTGACCCACTCATTGTTCAGTAGCATGTCATTTAACCTCCATGTTTACTTGTGATCTTTTCAGATTTTTTTCTTGTGGTTGATTTCAAGTTTCATAGCATTGTGGTCAGAAACGATGCATGATATAACTTTGATCTTTTTTAATTTATTGAGATTTGTTTGTGCCCTAATATGTGATCTATTCTGGAGAACGTTCCATGTGCACTTGAAAAGAATATATTTTCTGCTGTTTTAGGATGGAGTGTTCTGAATATATCTTAAATCCATCTGGTTCAGTGCATCTTTCAAAGCCACCATTTCCTTGTTGATTTCTTGTTTGGATGATCTGTCCTATGATGTAAGTGGGTGTTAAAGTCCCCTACTGTTATTGTATTACTATTGCTTATTTATGTTTGTTATTAACTGTTTTATGTATTTGGATGCTCTCATGTTTGGTGTATAAATATGCACAATTGTTACAGCTTATTGTTGGATTGTCCCCTTTATTATTATATAATGTCATTCTTTGTCTCTTGTTATAGCCTTTATTTTAAAGTCGATCTTATCCAATGTAAGCATTTCTACCCTGGCTTTCTTTTCATACCCATTTACATGATAAATGCTTTTTCTTCCCTTCACTTTCAACCTGCATGTGTGTTTAGGTCTAAAATGAGTCTCTTGTTGAGATTCATCTGTTGCATACTGATGGGTCTTGCGTTTTTAATCCATTCTGTCACCCTGTGTCTTTTGATTAGAGCATTTCAACCATTCACATTCAAAGTTATTGATAGATAATGTACTTAGTGTCATTTTGTTGCTTGTATTATGGATTTTTTTTGTCGTTCTTCTGTGTTTCTTCTCTTATATTTAGACTTTCTTTATTGATAGACTTGGATTCCTTTCTCTTTTTATTTTGTGTATGTTTTACTGGTTTTTGACCTGTGATTGCCATTAGGTTTGTATATAATATCTTCTGCATATAGCAGTATATATTGAGTTGATGATTACTTAAGTGTGTACTCATTCTTTACTCCTCTCTCAACCTCCCATGTTTTAGCTATATGGTGTCATACTTTACGTCCTTATTTTGAGAGTCCCTTGATAAGTGTGTACATACATATATACTCACACACATACACACACTTATTTTTACTGCTTTTGTGCTTCCTACTTTTCTTACTCATGGTCTTTCCTTTCTACTCAAAGTGTCTCCTTTAACATTTCTTGTTAGAGCAGGTTTAGTGGTGATGAATTCCTTTAACTTTTGTTTGGGAACTTCTTTATCTCTCCTTCTGTTCTGAATGATGGCCTTGCTGGATATTCTTGGCTACACATTTTTTCTTTTTTTTTTTAGATTTTTTCCTTTCAATATTCTGAATATATCATGTTACTCCTTTCTGGCCTGCAAGGTTTCTGTTGAAAAATCAGCTGATAGCCTTTCTGGGGTTTTCCTTGTATGTAACTATTTTCTATTGCTGCTTTTAAAATTCTCTTTCAACATTATGGATTTTGAAATTGAGGTGGCCAATTCTAAAAGTAGAATAAAGACAGGCTCTATCCCAGGATCCTGATATCATGATCTGAGCTGAAGGCAGATGCTTAACTGACTGAGCGACTCAGGCACCCTTGTCTTTTCCTTTAAAGCATTCTACTGGGCAGCCTGGGTGGTTCAGCGGTTTAGCACTGCCTTCGGCCCAGGGCATGATCCTGGAGACACAGGATCAAGTTCCACATCAGGCTCCCTGTATGGAGCCTGCTTCTCCCTCTGCCTGAGTCTCTGCCTCTCTCTCTCTCTCTCTCTGTGTCTCTCATGAATAAATAAATAAAACTTTAAAAAAAAATTAAAGCATTCCACCTGGAGAACTGATACACTAAATAGGAATATATAAAATTTTCATTATAATATATATGAATGTGTAAATCGTTCACTGGAATAAAAATAGCTTTAAATGTATCTGTTTGCAATGACAGATGCCAAAAATTGACACTTTTTCCCAATTTTGCTTCTGGAAAAAAATGCTGTTTCAAAAGTTAGTGGTTAATAACAGATCATCTCTGGAGGGTAAAATTGTAGGAACTTTTTACTTTCTAGATTAAGTACTTTTTTTTTTCCCAAGATTTTATTTATTTATTCATGAAAGACACAGAGAGAGGCAGAGACATAGATAGAGGGAGAAGCGGGGTTCTCGCAGGGAGCCTGATGCGGGACTCAATCCCCATACCGGGATCATGCCCTGAGCTGAAGGCAGATGCTCAACTGCTGAGCCACTCAGGCGTCCCTAGATTAAGTACTTTCTGTTTGGTGTACTGTTTTTAAAATATTATTACTTTGTAGTCAGAAACAAATTTATGTTGGTATTGGAGATAGATTTTAAAAATAACTGTACTTGGCAGAGATTGGCTGAAGTTCCTGTGTGTGTTTATACAGGGAGAGCATGAAGGCAGTGACAAACACTGAAGATAGAGAAACGAGGAGAAAGAAGGACGAATATTTAACTTTTAGTCCTCTAACAGTTGTAATATTTGTGGTTGTCTGCTGTGTTATGATGGTCTTACTTTATTTCTTCTACAGATGGTTGGGTAAGAAGTCATATTTCATATTTGCTATTTTCAGCCTACAAGTTTTTCATTTACTTCACTAGATTTAAGATATTATACCTGGGAAGCTTAAGCAAATAATTAAAGTGATAACTTTTTAAACTGTCAGAAGTGTTAGATCTCCATCACTCTGGGATAAAAAATACGCAGATTAAAAATATACTATGTCTTTGAAATAAGAATACTTCTTCATGGATGACTCAGAAAAAAATTGTGGTGGCCCCTAATTTTCCCTCTCTGCAGGTAAAGCTAGAGATGGAGAGCCCCTTATCTAAGCAACAGTTTAAGGACTTCTTGGTAACTGTATTTAGTTACATGAAATAGAAAATATTCAAATTACTAATTTATTGCCTCTCCTTACCCTCAAAGTGTGGTTTGTTCGTCAATGTGCAATTCAAGATGTATCACTCAGATTTTGTTTTACTTGAATCAATAGTCAGGATTGTGCTACATGTAAAGACACACAAGTACTTGCCTATGGTCCAGAAAGTAATGGGTACTTTCCCTTTAAGAAGGTAGAGATTTAAAAAAAAAAAAAAAAAAAAAGAAGGTAGGGGTAGAAACTCTAAGGGCTTGCCCATCCCCTGGACAATTGTGTTAGTGGTCTGAAAGAATGGAAATTTGCCATCTCTAGCCAATGCACAGCATAAAGAGGAGGAGACCAGGGAAAAGGGAAATGTACTTGGTAAGAACTAGCAAAACACTTTGTAAAAACCACCACAGGCTCCAGTGCTTATTTGGAGAACATTAGCACAATTTTCTGGACTAGAAAACTGAGGCACTTGGGTTAGTTTCAGCCTATTTTCCAATTCCTCCTGTCCTGTGGCAGCATTAAAAACTAGACCTATGACATACATTTTCAGTTAGAAAAAAGAATATTTGAATGTCACTCGTATTTCAATTTGTTTCTGGGAGAGTGGGTACTAGGATAGTTATTTATATTACATTATCATTGTGCAGTTAATTTTTCTAATTTAATACCAGCCTTCAGTTGTTTGTGTCTGACCCTTAGTCAATTAATTAGTGGTCTTTGATAGGAAAAAAAAAGTCCTCTACCCCCCCCAAAGCATGTTTTCATTTTTGGTGAGAAATTTCCTTAAATTTACTGGTATTTAAAAAGTTGACCTTGTTTATAAATGTAATTTTTTTAGTGGGAAGATTATTAAACCTGGGACATGGGATTTAATTATGACTGACAAAATCTACGTGATACTACAGGATTTAATGTACCTCCAAATGATTCCTAAAGGCTAAAGTTGCTGCCATTTTTAATATACAAAAATATATCAAATTGCTAAGGTTCCCCTTACCATTTTAAGTCATGCTCAAGAAAGTAACTAAAGGTGGTTATATTAACCGGATACTTTCTCATGTCTAATCATTTTCCTATGTAACATTGAATGAAATACTTAAAACTCTATTAGGGTCTCAGGAGCATGATTTCTACCTAAGTTTTAAAACTCGGTTGGCAGCCTTTGGTGGATGACTTACCAAACATAACTTGGCAGTTTTTTTACTTTCTTTACCGTTCACATTACCATATGTAACTAGTGTTAACAAATAACAGGGGACTAAAAAAGTAATTTGTCCTAGTTCAGAATTGGAAAGTGGCCAATAGTTAAAAACAAGGATATCAGAAAATTTTGGATGGTATGTTTTTCTTTCTTTTTTTTAAATGTATTTTTTTTATTTTTTATTTTTTTATGTTTTGTATCTGTGTTTCCGAAAAAGGAACACTTCTGCAGACTCCTGAATAAGATCTAAGTTGTCCAGCCACATAAACAGCAAGATGCTGGATGATTTTTCTATGACATTTTAAAGATGACATAAAAGCTGTATTGATTTTTAAAAGCGAAAAAGAAGGAAAGAAGCGGGGCTATCCTTTACTTGCTGTCTCTAGATTACTCTTTCTTTCTCACCTATAGAGCAAAGTTTCAATTTTCTGAAAGTTAGTGAAATATGAAAAAATTCAGGTAAAATTTGTATTTCCATTGTGAAATTTTGAGAAACGAGTATTTTATTTTAGAGTACAACAGTTTCTTCCCCTTTTTGAGAAAAAGGAGATCAAATGTAATTTTAAATAATTGTCAAAAAGTATAGCTAATATAGAAAAATATTTGTGAGTTTTAACTACTTTAGCTTCATATCATAAAGTGGTTTGTTTAAATGGATTTGGTTTTTACCGCAGGTCAAGTTATTAGAGGTAAATTACACCATAGGGAAATATAGCATGATTAATGTCTAAGGTAGGTGTCAGTTCTCATCCCTAAGCTGCATTTTGAAAAATGTTTATACTACTTCCTTAATTTGTCTATTCCTTACATGTAAGTACTTACAAGTGTCTACAACTCACTTCATAGACAGCTTTAACAGACATGTTTGAATCATTGAATGATAGAAAATGTAGCCCTTGAACAGTCCTACCAGTGTGTAATGGAACTAAAACAACACATAAAATACCCATTCTTCAGTAAAACTCAGGATCTAAATATTTTCAGCTTAGTAACCAATTCAGATTATAGTATGGTCCCAGCATTGAAAGTATCAACGATTCACTAAGAAAGCTGCATTAATATTGCTTGTATATTTTCTTATCATATTTCCTTCTGTTCTCATATAATTTAGTGTCTTTTTTTTTCTAGTTTATGTTATGATAGCAATTTTCTGCATAGCATCAGCAATGAGTCTGTACAACTGTCTTGCTGCACTAATTCATAAGATACCATGTGGACAATGCACGTATGTATCTCTTACAAGGAATCCTATAATGTTGGTATTTGTAATTTGAAATAGAACAGGGGAAAGAAGTGGTATTTTATTTTATTTATTTATTTATTTTTAAGAAGTGGTATTTTAAACCTGTGTGATCCAATATACCTGTGACTATTAAAATTTAAATTAATTAAAATTAAATTTAAAAATTCAGTTCTTCAGTCTCAGCCACATTTCAGATGTTAAATAACTATATGGAGTTAGTGGCTACTGTGTTGGGCAGCATAGATATAGAACATTTTCATCATCACAGACAGTATGTCTGTGTCAAATATTCTTTGATGTATCATTTGTTGTACTTAAATCATGACTTTTAAATTGATATTTCAGTAGCTTTCTTATGACTATGGTTAACATTTGTCATTTCTCATGTTGAAGTGAACATTGTATTTCATCTACAGAGTAACTAATTTCAGTCTATTTTTTAGGTTTATGTTTCGTGGAAAAAGCATTGAAGTGAGACTTATTTTGCTCTCTGGACTATGCATAGCAGTAGCTGTTGTTTGGGCCGTATTTAGAAATGAAGATAGGTATGAGTACTCAGTGTATTTGCTTTTAGATTCAGGATACATTATTTTATATCTTGATTGATAATTATGCATTATGATTATTACAGATTTTTTTTCACTTTTATCCCGCAACACCATAGTCTTGAAACAAGCTAAATAAGTACTTATAAAGGAGATCTTGTGATAATGAATTTAAGGTCATAGAGACCAGAAAATATGTACTATGATTATTTAAACATTTAAGCTGAAATAGGCTTCAAAAATATACTTTTTAAAATTCATTTTTATTTAAAGATTTTATTTATTTATTGATGACACAGATTGAAAGAGAGGCAGAGACACAGGCAGAGGGAGAAGCAGGCTCCATGCAGAGAGCCCGATGTGTGGGACTCGATCCCGGGTCTCCAGGATCACACCCTGGGTGGAAGGCAGACAGACGCTCAACCGCTGAGCCACCCAGGTGTCCCAAAAATATACTTAATTATGATAAATCCACATTATGAAGTACAATGTAGCTGTAAAGGATGAAGAAGATCTCTAAATTGACAGGCAGTGATTTCCAGGATGTATTTTTAAGTGAAAAAAGAATATATAGAGTATTCTATCTTTTATGTAAGAAAGGAAATATACAAGTATCTGTCCATCTGCAGGCAGGATAACCAGAAAAAATTTTTTGACTTTTTAATGGTTTATTAATAAAATTTTTAAAGCTTAAAGCCACTCCTAGCCTAAAATTTGGAAATAAAGTTTATACAATTTTAGGCAGCTTCAGTTGATAATTATGCATATCACTTCCTGGTAGATTATGTTACATAGGTCTTGTTTCCTTTAGATCCAGCTATCGGGACATATGTTAAAACCAATATCTTTAGTTATGAACTAACTTTTTAAAAGAAACATAAGTTCAAAGATTAAAGTTAAGTATGTACTATATTCAATGTATGTTCTGAGGTAGCCTTTCACCTTTTCCTTAGTAGAGTAGTATTTATTATTCTAGTAGGATAGTAAATTAATAAATACAGAGAGTATGAGTTTTTTTGTCATTATAATTGCTGCTTAATAATCAAATAGTCAAATCCTAGCAATTGAATGATACTACTTTAGTGATCTATTTCTTTGAAAAGTCCCATTTAAGAATAACTACATAAACCAATAGAATAACTTCTTTTGATTTTAGGTGGGCTTGGATTTTGCAGGATATCTTGGGGATTGCTTTCTGTCTGAATTTAATTAAAACACTGAAGTTACCCAACTTCAAGGTAAAGTAGACTGCTTGGCTAGCTAAAATAATTTTTTCTTTTAAAACAACTTTATTCAAGTATAATTTACTTGTAACAAAATGCATCCATTTTAAGTGTACAGTTTATAGAAGTTTTACAAATGACTAACTTTGTAGCCACCATCCTGATCAATTATAGAAGACTTCTCATCACTTCAAAAGCTTTCTTCTGCCCTTTTGCAATTAGTCCCAATCACCAGGCCTAACCAACCACTGATTTGCTAGCTGAAATATTTTTTAATCATTTATATAATCTGCCAAATTCATAAAATCCTTTTTTTTTTTTAATTTTTATTTATTTGAGAGAGAGAGAGAGAGAGAGAGAGAGGCAGGCAGAGACATAGGCAGAGGGAGAAGCAGGCTCCATGCACTGGGAGCCCGATGTGGGATTCGATCCCGGGTCTCCAGGATTGCGCCCTGGGCTAAAGGCAGGCGCTAAACCACTGCGCCACCCAGGGATCCCTCATAAAATCCTTATAGACAAAATATCAACAAAGAACATTTCTTTGATTTAGTGATTCTTCCTGATGGACATTAAGGAGAACATGTGATGTAATGAGCACTGGATATTATATAAGACTAATGAATCACTGATCTCTACCTCTGAAACCATAATACATTATATATTAATTGAATTTAAATTTTAAAAATTAGAATAAAATTTTTTTAAAGGAAAAGAAAGTAAAGAATGGGATAAAGCAGATAAAATTGTTAATGTGACTTGTAGAATAAAACTATAAATAGTAATACTATTAAATGCCTTTAAAAAATAGTGTTCAAATGTAATTTCACAGGTTTATTTATACTTGCAAAGCAATATGAGCTCTTAATTTATTTATCTTTTTTTTTTATGATCTCTTAATTTAGATGGAAGTTTGACCTTTAAATTTTTTCTTTTTTTCAACAGTCATGTGTGATACTTCTAGGCCTTCTCCTCCTCTATGATGTGTTTTTTGTTTTCATAACACCATTCATCACAAAGGTATGATATTTTTGAAATCCATAAGAAACATGCTAGAAGAGAAGTTTAAACCTGCTCTTAGATTACTAATTTTCTAAGTGTTTACCATTAAGTGAGTGCTGATTCTCTTTTGAAAATTGTCATTGAAGTTGGCCTTTTCATAGAGGATTTTTTAAGCCTTTAAATCATTCTGCTAAATGAAAAATGTCTCCTGGCTGATCATGAGAGTATAAATTTTCTTCATACCCATTTTAAAGTAATTTTTCTTATTATAAAACAATAAAAATTTGCTATAGATAATATAAGCAGCAAAAAGAATGAAAATGCATCATTGCCACTTTGATTTCTGTACCCCTAGTTTGAGGCAGAAACTGCTCCACACCGAAGTCTGAAGACCTGAAGTGTAGCTCTGTAACTTTGTTATCCTAGCAAGTCACTCAGCACTTTGTGCTTCGAGTTCCTAATCCATCCTGTGAGGGAATATTGCTAGCATTCCAGCCTCTCTCTTCCATCAGTAGAATTCTCCTGGTTGGAACTGACAGAACCCAATCTAACCTTTCTATACCACAAAGGTCCCTTCTATCCAACCTCTGAATAGAGGCCAAGGTCGAGCTGGTCTCAGAAGAAACTAGACCCAGGGTGCATACTCTCTCTTTCCACTTCTGTCCATTTTGTTTGTTGCGCCAGACTGGCTTTTTCTATGATATTATAATCTTGGCAGCTGACAGCTCCCGATTCACCTATCCCCAGCTCTGCCACTAGCTTTTCCATAAAATGGTTATGCTGTTCCCAGAATAAGAGAGAGCTATTGGATGAGTGTGATAGTCCTTCATTATTTGCCCAGTTTTTCTACTTGTCCCTATTCCCATCTCTCTTTTTTTTTATTTAAGATTTTTATTTATTTATTCATGAGAGACAGAGAGAGAGAGAGAGAGAGGCAGAGACCCAGGCAGAGGGAGAAGCAGGCTCCATGCAGGGACTCAATCCCAGACTCCAGGATCACACCCTGAGCTGAAGGCAGACACTTAACTACTGAGCCACCCAGGCGCCCCCTATTCCCATTTCATGAGTATTTTATTGCTCAATTCTCCTGCTTTCCCCATACCATGTTGAGTCTCATTTTGTAACTTTATATCATCTCTCTATCCTTTGTCATTCTCAAGTATTCAGTATTTGATATTATAATCACTACATTTTTCCCATTAGTTCTTTTTTTTTTTTTTTTTTTTTTTTAAGATTTTATTTATTAGGGATCCCTGGGTGGCTCAGCGGTTTAGCTCCTGCCTTCAGCCCAGAGCGTGATCCTGGAGTTCCAGGATCGATTCCCTCATCGGGCTCCCTGTGTGGAGCCTGCTTCTCCCTCTGCCTGTGTCTCTGCCTCTCTCTCTCTCTCTCTGTCTCTCATGAATAAATAAATAAAATCTTTAAAAATAAAAATAAAAAATAAAGATTTTATTTATTAGATGGATGGGGGTGCGGAGAGAGCACAAGCAGGGGGTATTGGCAGGCAGAGGGAGAGAGAAGCAGCAGACTCCCTGCTGAGTGAAGAGTCCAACATGGGGTTCAATCCCAGGACCCCAGGATTGTGACCTGAGCCAAAGGCAGCTGCTTAACTGACAGAGCCGCCCAGGCCACTCCCATTTGTTATTTATCTCTTCTTTTGCCCCTACCATTTGTGAAATCATTGTAAAACTCTGCACTTTTAGTATTTGCTATAATGGCATAAACTTGGGGCACAAAGATGTGCCCCCTTAGGGAACTCAAATTAAAATGCAAGGGGCATCCCTGGGTGGCTCAGCAGTTTAGCGCCTGCCTTCGGCCCAGGGCGCGATCCTGGAGTCCCGGGATCGAGTCCCGCGTCGAGCTCCCGGCATGGAGCCTGCTTCTCCCTCCTCCTGTGTCTCTGCCTCTCTCTCTCTCTCTCTCTCTCTCTCTCTGTCTATCATAAATAAATAAATAAATAAATCTTTAAAAAAAATGTTGGTTAATGAAAGCTTTCTATCTAAAGCCATTCCAGCTTGTGTCAATTTGTTTGGATCCAAAAAAAAAAAAATGTTTCTGTAAGTCACTCCAAAGGGGTCTCATAATGAAAGTAAAGCATTTTCTATACAAAGTCATTCTCATAAGTCAGCAGATAGTCATGACATATGGCACATATATTACACAGGGCATGTAGATATGAACTGTAACTAAACCCTTTAAAATTTTTTTCCATTCAGGTTTTTTTGTTGTTAATTTTTTTTCAGAGAGAGAGAACAGAACAAGAATTGTAAGCAGGCTCTGTACTCAGGGCATGCTTAAGATCATGTCCTGAGCCAAAATCGAGTCAGATGCTTAACCAACTGAGCCACCCAGGTGCCCCTCCATTTTAAGACTCGTATCACTTTATAAATGCTAACTGTGTCTGTCAGCAAACTATTTACATTCCCTACACATAAAAAGTTTCAGATTTTTAAAGATAAAGGATAATAATAATAAAGATGCCTTCGAGGCCTCTTCTTCTCTGTCTAGAGAATTTTTCATCTTCTTTTTTTCCTATATTTGTTGCCACTGACTAGGAATGTGATTTCTAGTACTGTGATCTGGTAAAAAAGATTAGAAGTGCTCTTTGGAGTTCACCAGTGTAGATTTACTTTAACACCTTCTCAGTCTAGCTTGTTTTTATTAAGGTAACTTGCTTTAGTAAGTAACTCAAAATGAAAATCAAATATGTAATTTCTGATTTGGGTTTTTTTTAATTGAAAACTTTAAGGATTAAACATTGAACACGTTAAACATGTCTTTCAGCTCTGGTGTTAGCAGAGTCTTAACGAGTAAGCAGAGCAGGTGGCCACAAGAGTATAGGCAATAAGAACCTATATTCAAGGGTACCTGGGTGGTTCAGTCAGTTAACTGTCCAACTCTCAAAGAGTTGTGAGATCAAGCCCGGTTTTGAGCTCAACACTGGGCATGAAGCCTGCTTGGGATTCTCTCTCCCTCTCCCTCTCCCTCTGCTCCCCATCCCCCAGCCCCACTCTCAATCTCTCTCTGTAAACAAACAAAACCCACATATCTGTCTTCATTTCTTTTTTCCTTCCACTCCTGTAACTTGGTATAGTATATTGCAAATAGTAGTTGCTCAGATACCTGAATGTAGCAGAGAATGTCAGTGACAGCCTTCACATAAGTGTTTTAAATAACAATTAGAAAATGAACCAAATGAACTCTATCTGGAAATTAAATAAGATTTATGGGAGTTTGCTATAAGGACTTGTATTTAATATTAGTCTGTTTTCCTAAACTCCTGTGACTTAACCCTTCTGTAACCTGAAGCATAACATGAGGGAAATATTTCTGTAGCTAGAGATTATATCCTTTCTGCTCAGCTCAGATATCAGTGAAGTCCTTTTAAAAACACTAAAGTGATTTTTCCTATGCTCCCCACCCACATGGAAAATATTATAGTTACTTGATCAAATTCTCTTCAAATTCAGCATTTTTTTATATTCCCACTACCTGTTTGGTGATATATTCATTGTAACGTAAAGTATAGATGGGTGCTCATGCAGTCTTCATTTTGCTATATCAAAATGTTTCCCCTTCACAACAGTCTTATCTGTCAGGAACAAATTATTAAGGGACTCCTCACACAGCCCCCATAAAAAGACCTTAGCCAGACACAATGAAAATCAGCTAAGGTTAATGTTTTGATTGAGACCTAAAAGGCTGGCAGGGCCAAAACTGGACAGGAGACAGGCTATATAGAAGTTTCTCAAGTTCTTTAGGGCTGGGTCTTTGCAAGTGTGACTTCTTTGTTATTATGTGAATAGCCAGAAGGTCAAATGTATTTTTATTCAAATAAAGTTACCAGTATTTATTACAAATCTAAATACAAAAGATTTTAGTATTTCTTTTGTCTCTATTCACTGTTACTGCTAAAAATGACTAAGGACACAAGGTACATGACATAATGTGATTATAAGCACTTAAAATTTATAGTCTATTAAAAATGCTAGCTATTTGTTGTCAGTACAGATCAGTGCCCAGAGCTTCACTTGAATAATATGTGTGTGGTTTATCTGCTAGTTAATGATCATTGTTGAACTCTAATAGAATGAAGCATTGTGCTTGGTGGTGAATTTTGTTTTAGATGGCTTCAATTTCTGCTAAACTTTTTTTTTTTTTTTTTAAGGATAAAAGGCTGTCTACAGCCTGTTTTTCATTAGTTTACTGTAGGCCATTAGCCATAGGGTCAAATCATTCTTGAATACTGATAGATCATTCTCTTTAAATGATTGGACAATTTCTTTCATCTTCCTCCTCAATTTTAGAATGGCGAGAGTATCATGGTTGAACTTGCAGCTGGACCTTTTGGAAATAATGAAAAGGTAGGGATGGCAATTAAACAGAAATGGCCACCAATGTATATATGTGTGTCCAGTTAATAATTTTGCCTTCCCGTGTAATGCATTGGTCATATAGTGCATGTTAAGGTATTGTAAAACTTTATTTCTCACAAAATATAGCCCTTTTCTTAGTTATTCTAAATTATTAAATACCTATTGACTTGGGTTTCATCCTAGAATGATGGAAACTTGGTGGAAGCCACTGCTCAACCCTCAGCTCCCCATGAGAAAGTAAGGATTGTATTTCAGATATGTTCATTGGACTTTAAATCATACCCTCTGAGACAAGATTCTTCTTTGGGAGAAAGAAATCCAGATTTTAAAAAAGTATATGTATATATATATATATTTCAAGACCTGAGTCCTATTTTTGGTATAAAGACAAAAAAAAAAAAAAAAAAAAGAAAGAAAGAAAAGACAAAAAAAAAAGGTTAGATGTGGGGATACTGGATTAATACTGTTAACCCTCATGTGTGTTGGGTTTCATTTTTCCAAAACTGTATATCTATTTCTTTCAAGCTTTCTATGCATTCAGAGTATATATGTGTGTAATTTATGTTCTCTGATTTCAAGTTCTTCTAAAAATGTTAAAACAATTACTCTAATATCAATCCTTCCCTTTCTAAGAGATATGTGTAAAAATTTCTAAGAGATTAATTGGTGCCTTTTTTTTTTTCCATAATTACAGTTGCCAGTAGTCATCAGGGTGCCAAAGCTGGCCTATTTCTCAGTAATGAGTGTGTGCCTCATGCCAGTTTCAATACTGGGTTTTGGGGATATTATTGTACCAGGTAAGCAATTGTTTGTAACAATTTCAGTAAAATATACTGATGGTTTAAAATTGCCAAATGCTTAGTATCTATTAAAAGTTACTTGTTCTGTATTAACCATTTATGGTTATTGCTAGAGCTGGGATCAGTGACCAAAATAGAAAAAAAAGCATTTCAAGGGGTAGAAGATAAAGCCCAAATGGTAACAACCAAAGTCTATATCCCCTGGCTCATAAGTGTCTTAGAGAAAGCACCTAGGATCAGTTTGGCCTACTTGCCCAAGAAAGTATATAACAAAACCCTTTAAAAGTTGAATTTAATAATACCAAATATATTGCAGTTTCTATTACTTCTATTTTAAAATAATAGTTATGTGTTCAGAAAGGTGGTTTAGGGATACCAGGCAAGGTCATGATTAAGGGAAACATAATAGAACACTAGCTTGTAGGGCATTATAACACACACAAAATACAGCATATGGTGTATCTTCTCTGACAGCTGCATTATTCTCACTGGGCTACCTATACAATAAACTCAATCCCAGGCAAGGAATAATATAGCAGAGAAGTAATTACTAGTGTTTCTTAATCAGCTGAGAGTTTGTCCTTCACTCTCTCAGTACCAACTGCCTGTGAAGGGGTAAAAAGTATGGACTCTTCTGCATAAGCCCTTTCATTTACATAGTAAAGCCAGGTAGAGAGAAGCCAGCAGCTCTGCCTTGTGAGTTGGCGTGCAAAGTCCAGTGTAGCAACTCTCTTAGTTCATTTTCTAGGATAGATCACATGTTAGGCCACAGAGCAAATCTTACCAAATTTAAGAAAATTGAAATTATATATATACCAAAGTATATTTTCTGACCACAATGGTGTGAAACTAGAAATCAGTAACAGGAGGAAAACTGGAAAATTCACAAGTATGTAGAAATTACACAAAATAGTTTTGAAAAAACAACGCATCAAAGAAAATATTAAAAGAGAAATTTAAGGGTGTCTGGGTGGCTCAGTGGTTGAGCGTCTGCCTTCAGCTCAGGGCGTGATCTCGGGATCTGGGATTGAGTCCCACATTGGGCTCCTTGTGGGGAGCCTGCTTCTCCCTCTGCCTGTGTCTCTGCCTCTCTCTCTGTGTCTCTCAAAAATAAACAAATAAAATATTTTAAAAATAAATAAAAGAAATTTAAAAATATTTTAAGAAAAATGAAAAGAGAAACAACATTCCAAAATTTACAGGATGCAACAAAGGTGGTTTAAGAGGGAGGTTTATAGTGATAAGCACATACATCAAGAAAATAGAAATGCAGATAAGCAACCTAACTTTATTTTAATTTTTTTTAATTTATTCATGAGAGACACAAAGAGGGAGAGGCAGAGACACAGGCAGAGGGAGAAGCAGGCTTCATACAGGAAGCCCAATGTGGCACTCAGTTCCTGGACCCTGGGATCACACCCTGAGCCAAAGGCAGAGGCTCAACCGCTGAGGCACCCAGGCATCCCGTGACCTAACTTTGTATGTAAGAAATTGGTAAAAGAAGAACTAAGCCCAAAGTTAGCAGAAAGAGGGAAATAATAGAATACAGCAGAAATAGAGAACAGGAAAACAGTAGAAAAGATGAATAAGAGTTGATTTTTAAAAAAATTTTAGATAAACAAAAATGACAGACTTGCAGCTAGACTAACCAAGGAAAAAAGAGAAATCAATAAAATCATAAATGAAAGCTACAACTGATAACCACAGAAATATACAAAAATGTTCTCCATGTCATGGAATATTAAGCAGCTAATAAAACCATGTTTTAAAAGACTATTTAATGGTTTGGGAAAATGTTTAAAAATGGCATTAAGTTTTAAAAAAATAAGCATATGAAATTTTGTCCAGTATTTGAGGTACCTTAATGTACTCATAATGCAAAAAATAAATGTTAAGTACAATGGCAGCATGGCACTGCTGCCATTGTTAATAGTTGAATTCGTATTGCTGTTACTGTTTTTTTTTATTTTTATTTATTTATTTATGATAGAGAGAGAGAGAGAGAGAGACAGATAGACAGACAGGCAGAGGGAGAAGCAGGCTCCATGCACCGGGAGCCCAATGTGGGACTCGATCCCGGGTCTCCAGGATCGCGCCCTGGGTCAAAGGCAGGCGCCAAACCGCTGCGCCACCCAGGGATCCTGCTGTTACTGTTTTAAGAAAATAATATATTTGGTGGTTTTTTGTTTTTTGTTTTTTAGGTCTGTTGGTTGCATACTGTAGAAGATTTGATGTTCAGACTGGTTCTTCTTCTATATACTATGTTTCCGCCACAATTGGTAAATTTTTGTTTTGTCTTTCTATTATGTTGAATTGTTTATAGGAAAAGGTAGAGGCCTGAAAATAAGAAGTCCTGAAATTTAATTCTTCATCATTAATTAGTAAGATAAGTTTTTCCATCAAAAAGAAATAATACTTTTCTACCTATATCACAAGGTTTCTGAGGTTTAAAAATCTGTATGTAAAAGAAAATCATTAGGTTTCATATCTTAAGTGCTTTTAGAGCATCTAACACATAAGTAGTCCATAAATTGTATGATAATAGATTCAAATTTTCTTAAAATACTATATGAATAACAGTGTATTTATATAAATGAATTTATGGCACAATAACATCTCACTTGAGACAGCAGAGGTAATTGTCATTTAACCTTCTATTTGTCTCATTGAGAACAGAGAAGAACAGGAAGCAAGCCAAAAAATACTTTACTTCTAAACATAACAAACAGATATCTCAAAGTCCATACACCAATCTCTTTATTCTTAGGTGAGCAGCCTTCTTCAGAGCCATTTAGATACTGTTGTAGCAAGATTTTCAATTCCACAGTGGAGTTAAATGCAGTAAATTAAAAGTGCTCTACGCTAGCAGTAGAGAAGGGCATTTCTAGAAATAGGTACCTGACAACAAGAAAGAACAGCTAAGTGAGTGAAAAGATAAAAGAAAAAAATTATAAAGAAATAAGAAAAGCAGTTTGAGGCTATTAAGAATGGTACTGTACAAGGGCATTAATGTACTAAAGTCCAGCACCAGTCAGTGTGATAGAATAAAAGAACACTCAATGCAAAGGCAGATAAGAGGGCTCTCTGTTCACTGTGCTGTATAACTTCAGGCAGTTCACTTAACTTCCCTGGTCCTCCATTGCCTTGTCTATAAAATCAGGATTGTCTATAAAGACTGTACTAGCTCCAATATTCTGAGATCCTCTGTTTATGATGAGATGCTGAGTCATTAAGGAAAGATCAGATGATGTTTAGTATGCACTTGTTGAAGAATCCCAAGAAGTATATAATCAAAATGAGGAAGATTTTCAAAGCAATTTCTAGTGCCTACAGGTACAAATTTTAGTTATCTGAAATATGCAACAACTCATCATCCTTAACAGTGACAGATTAATGGAGACTTTCTTGAATTATATCTTTGTCAATAATTAATGATTAACCAGTTCCCAAACTTTAAAAAGCTATGAGGAATGTCTCTCCTACTTGCTGTCTTAGAAAAAAAGTCATAGGGCAGAAATGTCCTCAGAAATATTTGAAAACCACCACGTCAGTGAGGGGGTCAAAATCCAACTGTGGTAGCATGTAGAAATGACTGATAATTGGTGTTCTTTTTACAGCCTATGCTGTTGGCATGATACTTACATTTGTTGTTCTGGTGCTGATGAAAAAGGGGCAGCCTGCTCTCCTCTATTTAGTTCCTTGCACACTTGTTACTGCCTCAATTGTTGCTTGGAGACGTAAGGAAATGAAAAAGTTCTGGAAAGGTAGTGGCTATCAGGTACGTACTTCTATCTCAGTTACCAAGTTATGACGTAATTCAGTGACTAAAACATATAATGTGTTATTGGTTTCAGAGGTAGAGGTCAGTGATTCATCAGTCTTATATAACAACCAGTGCTCATTACATCAAGTGCTCTCCTTAATGCCCATACCCCAGTTACCCCAGCCCCCAACCCCCTCTCCTCCCGTGACCCTCAGTTTGTTTCCTATGATTAAGAGTGTCTTTTGATTTGTCTCTCTCTCTCTCTCATTTCATCTTGTTTTATTTTTTTTCTCTAGAATTTCCCCTCTGATCCTCTGTTTTGCTTCTTAAATTCCACATGAGTGAGATCATATGATACTTGTCTTTCTCTGATTGTCTGACTTATTTCATTTAGCACAATATCCCCTAGTTTCTATCCACATTGTTGCAAATGGCAAGATTTCATGTTTTTGATGGCAGAGTAGTATTCCATTGTATATATGAACCACATCTTCTTTATTCATCTGCCAGGGGACAACTGGGCTCTTTCCATGGTTTGGCTATTGTGGACATTGCTGCTATAAACATTGGGGTGCAGGTGCCCCTTCAGATCACTATGTTTGTATCTTTGGGGTAAATACCTAGTAGTGCAATTGCTAGGTCATAGAGTAGCTCTGTTTTCAACTTTTTGAGGAACTTCCATACTCCAAAACAACAGTTTCAACATGAGTTTTCAAATCCACACAAAACTAGACTTTATGAAAAATAAAACTTTTTTTTTTATTTTTAAAAATTTCTTTGACAGCACAAACACAAACAGAGGAGTGGCAGACAGAGGCAGAGGGAGAGGGAGAAGCAGGCTCCCCACTGAGCAGGGAGCCTGATGCAGGGCTCGATCCCAGGACCCTGGGATCATGACTTGAGCCCAAGGCAGACACTTAACTGACTGAGCCATCCAGGTGCCCTGAAAAATAAAAGTATTTTAAGTACTGAATTTTTGAGACTGACATTAGCTCTTTTACACAGTAAGAGTCTTGAGGTTTTGCAGATAAAGGATGTACTCTGTTCAGCACCTAACTGGGTCTAATTAAATTAAATAGGGTACTTATTTTAGGTTTAAATGAATCAAGATTTCCCTGGGACAGAAAATCAGATCTATTATGTTTGAGATTTTTTTTTTTTTCATTGAAGTTAAACCCCTTTCTTCTTTTCCTAAATGTTCTTGATATTCCAGTAAAGTTTGTTTCCATTGAAATTAAAGAGAGTTGGGAAACTAGCGTATTAAGGTCAGGGCCATAGCATTGATCCCTTCATGAGGCAGTTAGCTCTGCTTTGCCCTATTACAGCAAACTACCCTCCTCCATCTGCTCCCTACATGAACAAAAATAGAGGTACTTTGGGTGGATGGCTGTAATTCTGTTAGTAAACAGTTCAAAGTTCATCCATCTTGTAGTTGGTCTGTAGTATCATCTTTATTTAACGAGATGATTAACATAGTAAGTTAGACCACTATATTTAGAAGAACCACTGGTCTAGAATTCTTTAGGGTAAATCGTGTAATTCCTTTGAAATTTGGTTAAAAGAATACCTGCCCTGTCTACCTCACAATGCCATTGTCTCAGCTTACATTTATGCACAGAGAATTATGGCCACAAGGCCCTTAACTAAACTAGTAAGATAACTTGTAACTTTTACATGAAGAAGATACCCACGTAGAGGTTTTTTTAAAAAAATTTTTTTTTAAATTAAAGTATGTCCTACAACATATACTCTGCTTTTTAGCCTTTGAAAGTCACATTCCAAAAAATACTCTTCGTGATCATTTTCTTAAAATAGTTTTATATTTCTTCATTTAGCAAATGTTAATTGAGTAGTTCTCTGAGCCAGGTGCTATTTTAGGTGCTGTTGATAAAAGATGAACAAGTTAGAAACAGGCCTACTCTCATGGCCTCTTGAAAGTTAGAGTTTAGTGGAGGATGCAGATAGTCACTAACAAAGTACGATAAATATATTTATTAGTTATGGTAGGGTGCCATGAAAGCTAGCAGTAGGACACCCAGTGCTTATTGTTATTTAGAGTAGGCCATGCTCAGTGCAGAGCCCAACATGGGACTTGAACTCCCATTCTGAGATCAAGGCCTGAGCAGAGATTAAGAACCAGAGAAGCTTAACCAACTCAGCCAGCCAGGCACCCAGCATTTTACTTTTAAAATATGTGCTTATTAAAAGAAAAAAAAATGTGTTTATTAGGATGTTTGGGTGGTTCAGTTGGTTAAGCGTTGAACCAGTGATTTCTGGGCCAGTTGTGATCTCAGGGATTATGAGATCCAGCCCCCCTCTTGGGTTCTATTCTGGATGTAGAGCCTGCTTGAGAATCTTTCCCTCGCCCTCTCCCCCTCCCCCACTGCACACACACTCTCTCTCTCTTAAAAAAAGGGGGTATTAACAGAAGATTTTGAAAATGTAGAAAAATACAAGAAAATTAAGTCCACCTATATAATTCCACCACTGAGAGGTAGCCACTCTTAAGATTTGAGTTTTGAGTTCCTCTCTGTGCCTTCCTAGATAAATGGATAGATGGATAGTTGATACTGTACTTTAAAGAGTTCTCTGTATTGTCTTTTCATTACATTTGTGTTCTTTTTTTTTTTAAGATTTTATTTATTTAAGAGAAAGTGTGAGCATGAGCAGGGGAGAGGGGTAGAAGGAGAGGGAGGCGTGGACTCCCCACTGAGTGGGGAACCCAATAGGGGACTCTACCCCAGGACCCTGAGATCATGACCTGAGCTAAAGGCAGATACTTGAGCAACTGAGCCACTCAGGCACCCAGTGTTAGTTCATTTTTGAATTCCTTGTAAAAAATTATTTTAATGACTGCGAAATATTCTCATACACATATATTGTATTTAACGATCTCCTTTGACCAAGTAATTTCTCTTCAGGGTATTGTCCAGAAAGTGGTTAAAAATTTGGGCAAAATTGATGTGAAAAGATATTTGTTAAAGTACTTCTGATTATCCTTGTTTTAATGACTTATAGGTTAACATTATTATTGGCAATTAATGAACTAAAATTTTTACATATGCCCTAACCTTGTTTTTACTTTATTTTCCTTTTTGTGTTTTAATTACAAAGTAAGGCAGTATACATTCTTTAAACAAATAATACAGAAGTCTAAAGTAAACATAGAAGGTCATTTTCTAACTATTCCACATACCCCCACCTCCTTTTAGGGGCACTAACTTTATTTATTTATTCTTTAAGATTTTATTTATTTATTCATGAGAGACACGGAGACATAGGCAGAGGGAGAAGCAGGCTCTCCGTAGGTAACCTGACACAAGACTTGATCCCTGAACCCAGGGATCACAACCTGAGCGGAAGGCTCAACCACTGAGCCACCCCGGCGTCCCTAGGGGCAACTACTTTAAACAGTTTGTGTGGAGATCTTTTCATTGACAATTCCTGCTATAAAATATTTAAAGATGTTGTATACATAAAGTACTAACATTGTGTTTCATTGGAAATATCCAAAGTTCATTTTCTCTCTGGTTTGTAATTGTACCTTTTGTCCAATCCTTATGATGTCTATTGAGCAGAAAGAGGATGGTAGATAAGGAAGGAATTCAACTAAGAGATGCATTTATATTCCCTATGAACAAATGCTCTGTCCTGGACCATTCAAGTTTCATTCTTAAAAATCATAATCTTGAGGGGTGTCTGGGTAGCTCAGTCAGTTGAGTGTCCAACTCCTGGTTTCTGCTCATGTCATGATCTTGCCGTTGTGAGATTAAGCCCTGCATTGGGCTCCGTGCTTAGTGCAGAGTCTGCTTCAGATTCATATTCTCTCTCTCCCTCCCTCCCTCTCTCCCCCTCTCCCTCTTTCCTCCCTTCTCCCTGTTCACACACACCCACTCTCTCTCAAATAAATCTAAAAAAAAATCATCATCTTGAAAAAAAATTATGATTCTCGGATGTCGAGGTGGCTCAGCGGTTGAGTGTTTGCCTTCAGCTCAGGGCGTGATCCCGGAGTACCGGGATCAAGTGCCACATCGGGCTCCCTGCATGGAGCCTGCTTCTCCCTCTGCCTGTGTCTCTGCCTCTATGTGTATCTCATGAATAAATAAAATCTTTAAAAAATATATTATGATTCTGCTTCACAACAGCTACCTATAAAGGGGAGAATTGTTGCAGCTGGTCACAAAGCAGTAGTAAATAGCCCCAGCAGGGCAGACTCCATGGCCTTAACCACAGGATGTAGAAGCCAAATAAGGCAATTGATGATAGGGAAATCCATTTTAAAATACTTAAAAAGTTAAGACAACTTTGGTTATATGCTTCTCACTTTTGTAGTGTCATAATTTTATTAAATAAGGGCAGTCAGAATATAAAATAACACATAGTAATAAAAAGCGTGGAGTCTGGTGCCAGACTGCCTATGTTTGAACTCTGGTTTTGTTAATTATTAGCCACATGACCTTAGGCAAGTTACTTAGCCTCTTGGTGCCTCAGTTTCCTCTAATGTAAAAAGGAAAAATGATCATCCTACTTCAGGGGGTTATTGTAAAATATGCAAATTGCCTAGAGTAGTGCTTGACACATAAACACTGTGCATTTGCTATCATAGGAATCGGGGTTTTTCATTTTGATTTATTTGTTGGCTTGGTGGTTATTTTTCAGTTCACTGAACTAGAATACCATTTTTCCGGTTTGAATGTTAAAACTTGAGGTCTTTATTAAATCTGGTTCTTTTAACTTACTTGCAAAATGATTTGATAGCCATCACAAGCCTCAGAGGAAAAAGAAAACCTGTTAAATGTAGCCATTTTCCCACTGTACACTAGATTTTAAAAGATGAAGAACAGATACGTGCTGAAATTTTAGGCAAGCTAGTTGCAGAATATTATAAACTGCTGCCAGGAGAGAATCTTTTTTTTTTTTTTTTTTTTAAGCTAGCATTTTCGGAAGTTATAGCATGTAATGCCCTCACAAAATTTATTCCCCTGTAACTGTGAAAAAAGAAATCTCTCATTGCTTTTTTCCAACCTTTAAAGTCAAAATTAATTTAGCTTGAACGTTACTATTTGTGAGAGACAGCGACAGTACATTAAAGGCTTTGGAAACAGTTCTGGCAAGTCTAAGACTCTTCTCCTCATCCATTAAATCAGGTTGGATCTACAGGCAGATAGGAGAATCTATAATTCATAGTGGTGGGTTACCCCAGGGCTTGGTAGGGCAGGTGGATGAGATCGGGTAAGGCCAGGCAAAGACTTTGAAAGTACAACTAGGAACCTCAACAAGCCTGATAAAACGGGAGACTAGGTATCAACCTAGTATAAGGTCAGCCCTGAAGCCAGCCCTCAGGCAGTTCCTGCTTCGTCTCTCAGGCTAATAGTGTCATTACCTTTTCCCTCCTTTCCCCTGCTTCCATTGTGTTCAGAGCATTGCCTTACTGTTTCCAGACTATCCTTTATATTATTCCCAATTCAGAATCTTCCTTCTCCAAGTGGATATCCAAGAATTCTCTAGTTGAAATTAGGTTCACCTTTCCCCATAATTTTTGTGGACTTTGTACTTTCAATACTTATTAACATCTGCCTTATATTTTAGATATTTGTGTATGCCTCCCTCAGTAAGTTATTATCTTCTAGGTATTAGGAACCTATACTGCTGATAACAGGGTTTTATATATTATAAATTCTCAGTTAATGTTAACTTATATATTATTTATTAGCTGAATAAAACTCAATGTTAAAATTTTTTATGCAAGCAACTATAATGTCTGTTCAGTCCTTAATCCACTGACTTTTAGTCACTTTTGCGTGTATGTGTGTAAGCTTGTGTTTTAGCAGCCCTCATAAAATTACCAAAAGTATTGTAAGGTTTATAAAAATGAGGCACTTTTAAAGCGTTAAACTAGACTTGTGTCTTCACAGCCTTTCTATATAATCATTTATTTTGCAAGTGCCAAAAGTTTTTGCTACTATTTGACATAATCAAATATAAAACAGGTAATATAAAATAAGCCAGAATCTAAGGTGATGGCACACTTGTTTATGATGTTAATCATTTGGTTCATTCCAATGCCTGGTATTAGAGTTGGTGCAAGAATAGTGGTGGTAAAAAGCAGGCCTTTGCACTGGAGACTTTTTAAATGTCATGGTTCGCCCTGATGGCCTTTTTATGCTTTTCTCAAAGGGAAAATTATACCCCATTTGTTGGCTGAAATCAGAGACTTCATGGAAGTACTTTTTGTTTTTTATTTAGAGTCAGCCCTTTCCATCAATTTCTCTGATCAAAATAAGATTTATTTATTTGATACAGAGCAAGAGAGCACAAGCAGGGGGAATGGCAGGAAGAGGGAGAAGCAGGCTCCCCACTGAGCAGGGAAGCCCAATGTAAGGACTCAATCTCAGAACTCTGGGATCATGGACTTAGCCGAAGGCACTTAACCCACTCAGCCACCCACGCACCCCCTAATTTGGAAATCTTAATTGTATATTATTTTCCTTTTTTTTTAAGATTTATTTATTTATTTATTCATGATAGACACAGAGAGAGAGAGAGGCAGAGACATAGGCAGAGGGAGAAGCACGCTCCATGCCCGGAGCCCGATGTGGGACTCGATCCCGGGACTCCAGGATCGCGCCCTGGGCCAAAGGCAGGCACCAAACCGCTGAGCCACCCAGGGATCCCCTGTATATTATTTTCTGTAACTTAGAGCCACTTAACACTCTTACTTGCTATAAACTTTTTTTCTGGAATGGTTCAAGAGCTATTGTACTCAGTTTCATTTGATTCTACCCAAAGTTTTAAGTTCTGATTAGTGTAAAATAAATCAAGGTGTTTCTTCTCTAGAGAGAAAAATCAAGCAGTGACCTAATTACTTTGGCATAAAGAACAACTAAAACACATCATCATTTTAGAAAAATGTTGTTGTTCTTTCTGATCCTAAATCAATGGAGTTAGATTTATGCAACAACCTCCAATGAGTTATTTTACTCTGGATAGAAAGTAAATGTTCAGTTTGTTGATATCCAGTAAACAGTGGATTTGTCTCTGTTAAATGTCACTAGTGCTTCTAATTATTTTTAGAAATCACAAGCTGTAACTGACAAGTCAGAATACAGAGATACTTAGAACAACGGTCTTTAGTATCAACAACTCTGTAGTTACCCTCCTTTAATGAGAGTTTTATTAGAGTGTTTCTGGAGATTGGTTCACTTATAAATAAGCAGAACTCTCAGTAAATGCTAGGCAATCTGACCCAATTTCAGAAGACATCTTTCCAAACTGAACTTGCTTATTTACAAATATTATGAAAAACTATACCAATTTTGCCAGTTAATTTTACTATCTATATTAGTTTTTGTTATGTTTTTAAAAACCTATTTCAAGGTTGTGCTTTTTGTTTCTATATTGCTTTTATTGAAAAGTCAAAAGAGAAAAGTAAGTACAGAATACAGATGTTTACTTCTTAATAAGCCGATTTTGAAAGTTTTTTTAATGAATACATTTTATTTATAAATATATAATATATAGATAGTTAGGAATTAAAGTGCCAGTGAGGTACCTGAGGATTAGGAAAGAAGAGATACATGATAACTTAGGGAGTATAGGCTGTGAATTCAGTAGGGTACAGTTGCCAGGGTAAGCAGGTCTTGGGGAAGGAAGAGGCTTTCCCCACCATCCTGCCGAGACTGCCTCCATTCTCTCTCCTCACAGCTCCAACCTCTCACATCCCAAACTTCTTTTTTTTTTTTTTTAATTTTTTTTTTAAAGATTTTATTTATTCATGAGAGACACACACACAGAGAGAAAGAGGCAGACACAGGCAGAGGGAGAAGCAGGCTCCATGCAGAGAGCCCGATACTGGACTCGATCCTGGGTCTCCAGGATCACACCCTGGGCCAAAGGCAGCACTAAACCGCTGAGCCACCCGGGCTGCCCCAAACTTCTAAATTACTAGAAGAAAAAGGACCTAAATATATCTTACATGCTTTTCCTTTCTTTCCCTTATTTAAATTGTGACTAAAATCAACTCTTCAACAACTTCATCTTATGTTTCATGTGGTAAAGTGATGATAAATATATTACCTGTCTCAATTGGGCTTTTTTTCCCCCTTGAAGTGCTATAAACATGTAACTCTTTATCTAGGGGGTATCTTTGGCAAATACAGGACCTCAGAACTAATTTTCTGGAGACCCGAGATGACTCGCAGAGTACTGGCAGGTTTGGGCTTTATAAGCTATCTCCATTTTTTGAGACAATTGTCAGCTGAAAGCCTCAGCTCATGTTGTGTTCTTCTTGTCTGGCAAGGTCAGAGACCCCATTTGGGAATGATTCCACTGTCTGCTTCCTTTTCCAAAAAACACTAAAGCTTTTAGAATCACTTTACAAAAATAGGAACGTTTATCTTGCTGGTCTTTCTTCTAATTGTGGATAAAGAAGAGAAAATGTGCATCACAGTACTGAAAATATTGGAGAGAGGGAGAGAGAGAAGCAGACTCCCCACTGAGGAGGGAGCTAGATGAGGGCCACCCAGGTACTCCCTTCCTGTCTTTTTTTTTTTTTAAAAAGTGGAAATCCTTTAGCCAAATTAGTGAATCATTGAGGGCAAGTTGAAATTTTGCATTTCCTAACATTTTTTATTTATGCCTAGGTGATGGACCATCTGGACTATGCAACAAATGAAGAAAACCCTGTGACTGCTGGTGAACAGATTGTTCAACAATAATATTATGTAGACCTGCAATAATGTCAGTTGATTTTCTACAAATAGAGTTTGACTTTTTAAATTGACTTTTGAATTGACAATCTAAACAAATCTTCAATGATATGCTTGCAAATATATATTTTTTAAGGTCTGGTACTGACAATTACATCAAATAATTGAAACACATTTGCTTTTAACTATGTTAAAGTTGTGCCTTCACGTTAAATAAAAGCATATAGTCTGTGTAATTTTGAAGATCTATAATATACAGTATATTTTTCTAAAAAACTGTCCTGACCCACCCCTGTACTTTCTTACTGAAATGTTTCTTTTAACTCCTAATAACAGATAAAAGTATTTCTGTCAAAGTGAGTTTCTGAACAGATTTTCTGTCAAGAGTTATGCAAATTTTTGCTCTGTAGAAATAACCATTTAAGACCATATTAGAAGGTAGTTCAATGATGAAATTTTGGACCTTTTTCACTGCAGAGGTTAAAAAACTATAATTTGGGAAAATATTTAAATGCATATTTTTGTAGCATAAGTTTTTTTTAAAGTACCAATCTTTTATAAACTTGAAAATCTAAATTACTTTAGTCTGCATATGTATTATATTAAAATAGTTTTTCAGATATAAAGAAACATAATATATAGAACTAGTCATTAAAAAGACACAGAACTGAAATCGATAGTTTTCCAGTGGTCTGTTTTTCTTGAAGAGGTAGCTTAAATTTCTATATTAACATTTAGTTTTACCATGGTATTTCTTATCTCTAAAGTTTGGTTCTGTTGATGTTAAGGCTTGAAATTTTGTAAAATGTGTTTTTTTATCAACTTAAATATTAATACATGTGGTGCACTGTATGAGTATAGTGTCCCTAACAGACTCCCCATACCCCCTCAGTCACCTTTTTTTTTTCCCCTAATTCCCACTCCTTTCCCCCATAGGAAACCAATGTTAATCTTTTAATATTTTAATGGAGGATGGTTTACTAATATACAAAGTGTGCTTTAGAGGAAAGAATTGGAGACAAAAGACAGGAGACTGTCAATTTAATGACAATAAAAGAATTTGAGTAAATTATCTTAGCTCAAAAAACCGTGGCATCTCAGTTTTCAGATCTGCAAAATGAGTAAGTTAGACAAATTAATTACTCTGGTACCTTCCAACTTGAAAAGTAGCTTTCTCATTCTTTGCTGAATCTCAGCATGGCCTTGAACATTATCCTGGGAGTCAGAGGTCAGAGTATCTGTCTACTGTCTTTTATTTTTAAAAAATTCCCAAATGATGAGTGATTGCAATAGCAGGATTTTGCATTTCTCTGTAAGTAATGTATAAGATTGTGAACAAGTCTATGATCTTTCATTCTAAGGCCATTTCAGCTGATTAAAAGATAAAGCTACTGCCTTTTAAAATGGATCAGATCTTTGATGTTTGAAATAAATGTAATCTTTGATGGAGTTAGATGCTTTTGTTGAATTAACTTTTGCTGCTGAATAAATTGTAGATAGAGAAGCTCCCTGACAGACAGTCCCTCTTTACACTTAGTATGCTTATGGGTCCTTCAGTTTATGGCAACATGACGGGTCAGTATCTGCCAAGTAAGAGTTAATCTTAATTTTGTCTCCATAATATCAAGTTTGAACTTTTTCCAAAGAATCTAATTTATTTGGCAGACTCTGATAGAACAGATTAAGTGCCATTTTAAAACTCCAACTCTATTTTCATTTATAATATCAATAAAATGTTTGCCAAAATACAGCTTTTTTAGTAAGATTATCTGTACTCATCCCAACTTTATGATATTTAAGAGCCTTAACCACATTTTATGAAGAACATTAAAGAAAATTTTATATCTTTGATTACAAATTCTACTTTATCCAACCATAAGTTACCAGAGGTAAAACTGTTCTAGTTTGCTATTGAGATCCTATCTATTAAATGAAAATAAGAAACAAAACGTGAAATTCCACAAGTTTCTCCATTCACAATGTCAACTTTATTTGTATTCAAAGAATCCTTCTAGCAACGTAGTTGAAAAGAAAATATTTTGAGAAATTACAGTCCAGAAATATTTTATTTTAGAAATCAAAATAAAGGGTGGGGAGATGAAAGTTTGGCATTAAAAGGCTATGTCATTTCTCCTCCTCTCATCCTCCCACCACCTGTAACTTTAAGGGGAAGAGAGTTATTTTTTTCCTAAACATGTCTTTAAAACAGTGAGATATATAGTATCATTACTTACTGGAAAAAAATAATGTACTACTTTTTAGAAATTCTCTCTGAACATTTTGTAGCTTATCAAACAGAACTAAATATCTCAAATTGCAATGTAAGTGATTTTTCCTTCAGTTTAGGTCAGCAGAGATAAATATGAAGTTTGGGGTGAAAGACCTTGATATTCTAATATGCTATATTTTCTTCTAGCTTGTTGATTTTTTTTTAGGTTAGCAGTACCTTAGTAGAATCTGTGATTGACTTTTGAAGGAAGAGAATTTTAGCCCATCTGCTGTTGGCATTTTTAGATTTTAATTTAGTGTCCACAGAGGTTTTGGTGAAATGGTACATTTATAATAAATACAAATGAGCTTTCCAGTTTTCCTTTGCTCTTCCAGTTTCTGCCGTAGGTAAGCAAAGATTATTTCTACATTTGACTAAAAAATATTTGAGCCAATTCTATTTAAGCTTGGTTTCTAGAACTTCAACCTGATCTCAGCCAATGAGATTTCAAAAACACGAGCTGCATTTCAGACAGTGGAATGCACTAGTTTGAAAGGGTTAGTGTTTTCCTGTTAATAAGGAAAAAGGTTGAATGATGCCAAATAACCAATTCTGCAGTTTAAAGTTTTTATTTTCAGTGCTCTCTTTACCTCAGAGGACAATTCTAAGGGGAGGTGGGGAAGGTAATGTGAATAAAATCAAAATACTGACTATAAATCACTTTTTGCTTCCTGGAAGAAAGATACTCTGTAAATTCAAGTGACCTGAATCAAGTTATCCAACCTTTTAGAATTGGAAAAGAAATTGTGTAGTACTCATGGTTTGGGTTACTGAAATTTCAGAGTAAAAAAAATGATTGATAAAGGAATATACAACCGTATTATAGTGAACACCATATATGTAAATTAACTTGTTTAATGTTGCCATAGTTAAGGACAGGTTTGCATCTATGAAAATGTTCATTGGCGGGAAAATTATTTTTAGACTAAAGTTTTAGAATAGTCCTGCATTATTGGCATTTGAGGCAACTAAGAGAAAAAAAAATGTAGAATATTTAATGTCGTCATGTTTCTTCTATTAGGCATAAAAAATATTGTAAACTTCTATTCCTTTGGGATATGGATTTTTTTTTTTAAATATCTAAAGTTTATCTGGTTAACCTGCAGAATTTCCAGTAGGACAAATCAGTGTAAAGTTTTTGCCTATTTTATACCTTCTGTTGTATTTTGTTCAAATGAGAACCTTTTTAAAAACACATATGATTGAATTTTTACTTCTTAGATTATGGTTCAAGTGTGGAATTCTTTTTTTTTTTAACACTTTGATATGTGAGTTGATATAAATTAATAGTTTTATAACACTACTAGGCTTTATTTTTTTTTATGGAACATGATTTAAAATTTAAAATTTTTTGAAGTGTTAATTTAGCAATGCTTTAAAAGTTCATTATGAAAAAAGTTCATTATGTGCCAATACTGATAAGAAAAACAATTTTTTTAATGTATTGAATTCACTATGGTATTCAATAAATTATATTTTAAAATAAAATTTGAATTTGTTTTATTTTTAATGGTAAAAAATAATTGAAAATGAACTAAAAGTATACTAGATCATATTCACATAAAGTATAAATGGTAATAATCCTTAGCAAAATCATGTAGCTATTTAAGTCTGACAGATTATCCATAAAACCTAGGTTCCGTAAGTGTCGTTTACTGGAAATTTATACTGATACATTATACTCTTTCATAAATATTGAATTAATGTATGCATGGGCTTTTCTTTAAGCAAGAAATGTTACCTGTTAAAATGAACATTCCTGGCATTTGCAACTTTGCTGATATTCTTTTCACAATGTTTTTTCACAAATTATTAAGGACCCTGTTGCCATTGTACTGCCCTTTTATTTTTTTTATTTTTATTTATTTTTTTGTGCTGCCCTTTTAACAAGCTTTACATGTCATCTTTTTCATTCTAAAATCTGAGACCCAGTATATCAGACTCACCTGGGAGCCTTGTTGAACTACAGATTGCTGGGCTCCAGTCCCAGATTTTTTTTAAGTCGAGTCTGGGGTAGAATCCAACCAAAAATTTCCATTTCTAACAAGTTTCCAGGTGACGTTGGTACTGCTGGCCGGGGGACTACAAATTGAGAACTACTGGTCTAGGGAAATATAGTTGGATAAAGCCCACCATCAAGGGCCCACCATGAGGTTTGTTATCTTAAATTTAAAATGACTATTCTGCGTGTGTGTTTTTCTATGTTTGGTTTCCACAGGTACAATGCTGAATTGAATCAGGACTGTGATTTAGCCAAGCAAGGTCAAGATATTTAACGAGCAACAAGAGAACTTAGGATATATGTGAAGCAGTGAATATAACTTACTAACCTGTGAAATTTAAGCTGGGTAAGGAAGGATATGAAGATGGGAGGGGGTGATGGAATGATAGTGAAAAGGTGTTGACATAAATGCATTTTAGGTCCCTATGTTGTTGAGTGATTGTTGAGTTCAGATTATCAGAAGTTGGGTAGATGAACAGTGTTGATCAGAGTGGACTGTTAGAAATTGAAATTCTGAAAAATTGCTAGATAATATAGAATGCCCATTAAAATTTGAATTTTAGGGCAGCCCAGGTGGCTCAGCGGTTTAGCGCTGCTTTCAGCCCAGGGTGTGATCCTGGAGACCTTGGGATCAAGTCCCATGTCAGGCTTCCTGCATGGAGCTTGCTTCTCCCTCTGCCTGTGTCTGTGCTTCTTTGTGTGTGTGTGTGTGTCTCTCATGAATAGATAGATAAAATCTTTAAAAAAAAATAAAAATAAATAATAATAAATTTGAATTGCAGGGATGCCTGGGTAGCTCAGCGGTTGAGCATCTGCCTTCAGCTCAGGTCATGATCCTGTGGTCCTGGGATCGAGTCCCATATCGGGCTCCCTATGAGGAGCCTGCTTCTCCCTCTGCCTATGTCTCTGCCTCTCTGTGTGTGTCTCATGAATAAATAAGCAAAATCTTTTTAAAAAAATAAATT